CATACGGTTGACTGGTGAACAACTGCCAAGGGATTTTTTATGCGTCTTGAAACTTCAAGGTTCCTCACGTTTCTCGTTCTTGTTTACAATCTGTATGTACGGAAGTGACGCAAAAAGCAAATTTTTAGAGAAATTCGTTCTTCGTTGTTTTATCGTTTCAAAGAATTAATTGGTTTTTAATATTAAAATTATCAAGAAAAACAAAGTAACAAAGGACGTCAACATGAACTTGTGACAGAAACGTCACTCGTTCTCCGAGTGGTGGCGACCCATGAGTTTGTTTTTACATGTACTTCGCACTCGGTCTTCCTTGTCTGATACATTTCGTTTTATTGTCACCCTTTTGCGAAATCAGCAACAAAATAAAAATTACAAACAAAATACAAACCACCACCACCACCAACAACAACAAAAACAACGCGGCTACTTTCGATTGGGACCTGTGATAGGAATAATTTGTTTTCTTCTTCTTGATCAGTCCTGCCTAAGACGGCCACCTGTCTTATACGGCCACTCTTCTCCTTGATAATGGGTGGCCGTCTTACACAGGTTTGACTGTACCAAAAGAAAGAGAATTTTATTGCCGTTTCGGGAAAACCCAATGCGCATGAATGTGTGAACATTACAAATAGTTATGTGAGTTGCGCATGTTGTAGTTTCACTTCTCTTCTGAAATGGTATTTGTCATAAATGCAGTTTAACATCTAATGTACCATTTCCTGCCGTTCAAACCAAATATGAACTGTTCCTTATTGACTTTAAGTTCTTTGTTCTGCTCTACGAAGTGTTTTTTCCGAGTTTACTGTAAGTAAACTGGTTGTTTTCTTATTTCTGTTTCCAAGTGGTCGAGCGCTTTTGTTTACAATTTAATTGTTTCAAGATGGCGGACCGATCAGCTGAGTGGCGTATTTCATCGATGTGGAACGATCTCAGTCGGATTGGAATGAGACAAATCACAGACGAAAATGAATTGGATGAACTGATTATTTATTATTTCAATGCAAGACCTATTGATTGTGAAGACAGTAGATTCTAGTTTGGAGGAGGAGACACATGATGAACCAATTACGACGACGACCGTGGCCGTGACACACCCCACATACACCCACACCCCTTCTCATTTATAACCATCATGGTCTGGAATCTGGAACTTCATGAAGAAGAAGTCCTGGTTCCTGTTCAACCAGTTGGCATAACATCATCAGAAGGTAAGCAAGGTTTACCATACCCGCAGTCCCAGCTTCTATACTAGTCCTTATAATTATCAGCTAGATTAAAGAACTGCGTATTCTTCTAGATTATTTTATATCCTACCTCTAGCAGTGTATTAGAATTGGAGGAGCTAGATTCTAGATCTAGATCTAGATTCTAGATCGACTAGATCTATCACTAGATCTATACTCTATACGGTAGCTTAACTCTTGGAACGAGACCAAGTCTGTCAACGTTATTGTAGACTTAGATCAAGATTGTACTAGACTAGACTAGACTAGACTAATTCTAGACACTTGAGTTGACTAGATCTAGACTTATGACTCTTCTCTATCTGGATTCATATGACACTTAACTTAAGACTCTTGATGAAAGTTACTCGAGCCTGCAGCTGTTGTTTAGATCCCTGTCGCTTACCTATCTGTATGATGAAGCAAGTCTCACTGCAGTGTGTGTTGAGATCTAGATCTAGATGACATTATAGTGTGTTGTTTTACACTTTATACACCAAGTCACCAGACACATTGTTGATTGTGCCTAGATCTAAGACTAAATAAATCCAGGGCCAGCCAGTTTTGTGTATCTCTGTAAACAGTATTTTTCTAGACGTGTGGAGATGATCCAGTGCACACTACACAGATAAATTCTTGTTGATCTCTTCAGTTGTACATACTATTTTCATTGATCTCTTAGGTGCAATTGCTGGCCCAGGACCTTCGCAGCCCCCCTCCCATGCTCCCAGTGAAGCAGATCCAGAGTCTCTGACTGCTGTGCTCTACAACAACAAAGTGATGCTGACCAGTCCAGTATTGCTGAAGGTAATGCCTCTCTCAATGGAATTGAATAATAGACTAGGGCTACTACTACTACAATTTATATTGATGCTAACACCTGCTTTAAATTTCTTGATTCATTTACAAAGTAAAGCAGAAAATAATCGATAATCTTACATACTTTTTAGCTTTAATTTTTCGACTTGAAAAGAACCATGAGAGATGCTGCACCACACTAACTTGTATTGTTGAAGGTGATGCCTCTCAATTAAATTTAATATTATAGCATTATAGTTCAGTGTGATGCTGACTCTTGCTTTAAATTTTAAAATTCCTTTACAAAGAAGAAATATATCATTCTGAATACATACTCTTTAATTATTTTACTTGAAAAGAACCAAGAAAAGAGAGATGCTGCACTATCGCAGTGATGATCTGTCACAAACTTGTCGTCACATGAAAGTGAATTTCTTAAACTGAGTAGGTCCATATAAAAATACAGCGATGCAAAACGAAAACAAGAGGTGACAGAATGATGGACAAAAATTCTGGCTTCTTGAATTAGAGACATAGATTCAACTTTTGATTGAGGGAATTATTTTTAGGATCAAACGACTAAGATAAAATAGGGATGGGAGCATGGACAAAGTAAAGGCTATGGTGTGACAGCGGTGCTATCGGCTGACCATCGGAAAGACACATTTATCCGACATTGTTCTGATGTTGGGTGATCATAGGTTTCCGATAGTGTGTGGGAACCCGACATCGTCCTGATGGTGGGTTGTCATCGGTTTCCGATGGTGTGTCGATATCCATCATCGCGCCGATGGTAAGTCGGTATCCATCATCGCGCCGATGGCGGGTTGTCATCGGAAGCCGATGGTAAAGCCGATGGCGGGTTGTCATCGGAAGCCGATGGTAAGTCGGTATCCATCATCGCGCCGATGGCGGTTTGTCATCGGAAGCCGATGGTAAGTCGGTATCCATCATCGCGCCGATGGCGGGTTGTCATCGGAAACCGATGGTAAGTCGGTATCCATCATCGCGCCGATGGCGGGTTGTCATCGGAAACTATTATGACAAACTTCAGTTTTGACCTAAAAATTAATATTTTGACCTGTCATTTACTTTAAAATTTTATATTAAATGAAAGTTTCCTCATAATATGTATCTGTGTACATGTTTTTAATGTTTATCAACTCTGGAAAGCCCTCAGAATACAATATGTAGTTCGTTCATAACAATTACTACAAAAGAAAAATACTGATTAAAATACATACCCGTACACTTATGATAAAAATCAAAATATCAGAATGTAAGCAAGGTCTAATACATCCTCAAGTTGGGTTAAAATTAAAAATACATCCCAAAACAACTGTAAATTACATGGAATAAGGTTTCGTTCATAACCATAGTGACACAATGTCACGTTTATAACATGATGACCATCCATTATGACAAGCATACTTTTGCCTCTTCTTCGCTTCTCTTTTGAGTCATCAGCACGCTACTCTTCCATGTTCATTCCACCATGTAAAAGGATGTTGTGAAACAGTGGGAAGTCCCTCACATGATATTTTGCAGAAATATCATAAAGTGTTTGTTCATAACATCATTATGACAAACCTGGATTATCTCAATCAAAGTCATATTTAAGCAAAACCATGCGATGGAGCGGAAAATTACCCTTCTGATGGATCAATGTCAAACCAATGTTTAATACCTGTCATTCCCCGGGATGATATGTGAGGCGTGCTGACAAAATGAGTTACTTCTCGCAATCCACAAATGGAGATATTGGGTTAAAAATCGACACTTGGGTTAAATTTGTAGATTTTCTATTGATGCCATAATCTTTAAGAATATCATGGTTTTTTTGGTCATACTTATAAATTGTAAAACTTCACCTATAAGTGTGATGTAGTGATTTGCATAGGGCTCGAATCTGAGAAGTAACTCATTTTGTCAGCACCCTTCACATATGTTTAACGATTAGGGTTTTCTAGACCTTGGAAAGTCTGATGATGTAATTATGACACCAGTTATGAAAGAAGAAGTCCTGGTTCCTGTTCAAC